AACATCCATACACTTTCAGTCCACACTTTCTGATGACTTCATATCATCAACTAACATCCATACACTTTCAGTCCACACTTTCTGATGACTTCATATCATCAACTAACATCCATACACTTTCAGTCCACACTTTCTGATGACTTCATGTCATTAACTAACATCCATACACTTTCAGTCCACACTTTCTGATGACTTCATATCATCAACTAACATCCATACACTTTCAGTCCACACTTTCTGATGACTTCATATCATCAACTAACATCCATACACTTTCAGTCCACACTTTCTGATGACTTCATATCATCAACTAACATCCATACACTTTCAGTCCACACTTCTGATGACTTCATATCACTTCATATACATCACATTCATCAACTAACATCTATAAACTTTCAATACACCCTTTCTGATGACATATCATGATCTTACAATACACACTTAGTTTGTTATTCACTGAGACATGATACAGTATAGATGATCTGTAGTTGTTGACATCAGCTGATCTGAGATGTGATGTTGACATCATCCGATCTGTGATATGTTGTTGACAGCTGATCTGTGATATGTTGAAATGAGCTGATCTGTGATATGTTGACATCAGCTGATCTGTGATGTGTTGTTGACATCAGCTGATCTGAGATGTGTTGTTGACATCAACTGATCTGTGATGTGATTTTGACATCAACCGATCTGTGATATGTTGTTGACAGCTGATCTGTGATATGTTGAAATGAGCTGATCTGTGATATGTTGACATCAGCTGATCTGTGATGAGTTGTTGACATCAGTTGATCTGTGATATGTTGTTGACATCAACTGAGCTATGATATGTTGTTGACATCAGCTGATCCGTGATATGATGTTGACATGAACTGATCTGTGATGTGTTGACATCAGCTGATATGTGATATGATGTTGACATCAATTAATCTGTGATATGTTGTTAAAGGTCACATGCAACGTAAAATACAACTTTTCAGATTCTGATACCTTTCGGTATGGACTCACCGAAACAAATCATCAAAAATGCAAATTCATCTTATAAAGTTGAAAAAATAATCACGATGAAAAAAAAATTACGCGAAAAACCCCGCTGAAATCGTAGTTCAAATGATTCACTAATTTTCCCCCAGCGTTTGGGGGGGAATTCAAGTGGTTCCAACAGCTGAGCTGCGCTCATAGCACGTGCGCCGTGAAATAGGTTCGCGCAACTTGGAAGCGGGTTGTCCTGTGAATACTCGCTGAAGGCTTTGATGTGAGCTATTTTTCTAATGTTTTGTTGATATCTCACAGGCTCGAGCTTTTTATATGTTATGACAGTAAATTCACTGTTTATATAATTTCATTTGTCAATTTCACCACACGTTCTTCTTACCGAGTCACTTTCTCAGTTTGATACTTAAAAGCAATGTCATTATTTAGCGTTGACAGAATTTCTAACTGTGATATAGATGTGTCGTTGTCACAGACAAAACTCAATGTCTTGTTTTATTGACACCTGTGTGTCTGCTGCCTGTCTGCTAATGACAATATTCAATACACAACTGCGGTCACTGACCACATGCAATTTGAACTTAACACCTATCAGGCTATACACCATAAACAAAATGCATTGATTTATGGCCCGAGTTCGGTGTCTGTCACATTATGTAATTACACAGACAGGCAGGTGTGATACTTGAACACATGACATGTTATGATGTCTGTTGATTGTAAAATGTTATACCCAAAAACTGAGCATGTATTTACAAAACCCAACATCTCTATATATATGTCAGGGTAGAGATTGCGATCTGGTAGCATTGGAGATTCTACCAGTAGACATTGCGATCGGAGTCTCTACCAGAAGAGATTGCGATCGGAGTCTCTACTGGTAGAATCTTCGATCCTACTAGTAGAGATTGCAATCAGGGTCTCTACTGGTACAATCGGAGATTCTACCAGTACCATTTCCAATTCAAATGGTAGAAACTCAGATTGATCTGTGGCAAACAACAAAGATAACAACAATTGTACAAATTTATGGAGAGATGGAGAAGTGTAATAATACTTTGGGAGCAGGGCCTGACGAAGATTATTATAAAAATTACATTCTAAGCAGAAGTGATATTCAGACTCAAAAATGGGTACAATGCAAAAATGGCATAATCTTTCGCTCCTTGCTAGGCCGATCTTTCGTCTTTCCTCGATTAGCAGTTGATGATTAGAGCATCGGAGCTAACAGAGTGCAATACGGTAAACTGGTACACTAATTAGCAATAAATAATCCTCACATTTAATTTCACTTTTAACAGATTTATATAACCTAAGTTTGGAATAACTTGATATACTTTCAAAGAAACACTGGTTATCAATAGCAATATACCTTTCCTTAAAACTTGAAATAAAACTGTTATTACAACCTACATCTTGATTAACCCACACATAGCCGAATACCTTAGTTTTTTCTATATTTACCTTTAGCTGCCATTTATAACAATAATTACTTTACTTATCGAGCCTTTTTTGTAATCCCATAACTGTACTATAACAACAACAACAGTGTTCACAAATGGTGTTTCATAGTAACAGGACATTGGGTCCTGTAGTTTCAGATGTCTGTCTGACCCGTTGAAAATGCACAGGACCCATAGAATAAAATTAAACACACATTTCAGATTTAATATTCCTTATAATTGGCATTGAAATTATTAACAAACATAAACAGCAAACAAGTAGCACATGTCATATATATAACAAATTCAGTGAAAGTCATTATGAAATATACAGTCAGACACTGGGGCCGGCAGGTTGCAGACTTCTATCGGACCGTCTGACAATCTGCCGGATTGTCAGAGGGTCAGACGCTATTCGTGAACACTGCAACAAAAACAGGAAGGTGGGGAAATGACCGGCCAGAAATATATTTGGGTTAGAGTTATATTTATGTACAATAACAATCATAAATGAAAACAAAGTAACAATGTTTACTTTCAAAGTGTTTGTAAACATCAAGTTGGACAAACAGTGTGCACTTTTCAATGGAAGACGTCATTATACAATATACGAAAATAAATTTTGTTTTTCTAAATATTCACTTAGATTGCAATCTCTACTAGTAGGATCAGCTTTGAGCTTCTACTGGTAGAGATTGCGATTGTATAGGTTATTCGATATAATCAGAGTCTCTACTGGTAGAGACTCCGATTGCAATCTCTACTAGTAGGATCGGAGATTCTACCAGTAGAGACTTCGATCGCAATCTCTACTGGAAGAGACTCCGATCACAATCTCTACTGGTTAAATCTCCGATCCTTTTGCACTTTTGATTTGCGATTGTACGCTTATAATTTTGTTTATATGTGTTTTCATAACCAGCAATGTATGTTATATATCATGAATAAGTGATAATTGTGTTTTAATTATGTTTGATTTTTTGGTTGCATGTGACCTTTAACATCATCTGCAGGGTTTTACATGACGCCTGATTCCTGCGTATTTGACGCAACAATTTTGTTAAAGGTCACATGCAACCCCCAAAAATCATACATAATTAAAACACAATTAGCACTTATTCATGACATATAATATACATTGCTGGTTATGAAAAAACATATAAACAAAATTATGAGCGTACAATCGCAAATCAAAGTGCAAAATTGTGTACTTGGGGTTACTTACCAAGAAACGAAGAAGCCGGGATACCGAACCTAGTGAGAGCGGGTGGGTGTGCACTCAAGTGTAACGGCTGGTTCATTTGCAGATGCCCCACGGCTCATTGTGTGTGTACATATAGAGATGTTGGGTTTTGTAAATACATGCTCATTTTTTTGTGTTTAACATTTTACAATCAACAAACATCATAACATGTCATTTGTTCAAGTATCACACCTGCCTGTCTGTGTAATTACATAATGTGACAGAGACCGAACTCGGGCCATAAATCAATGCATTTTGTTTATGGTGTATAGCCTGATTGGTGTTAAGTTCAAATTGCATGTGGTCAGTGATAGCAGCTGTGTATTGAATATTGTCATTAGCAGACAGGCAGGAATTGTTGAGACACACAGGTGTCAATAAAACAAGACATTGAGTTTTGTCTGTGACAAAACGATCATATCTATATCACAGTTAGAAATTTTGTCAACGCTAAATAATGACATTGCTTTTAAGTATCAAACTGAGAAAGTGACTCGGTAAGAAGAACGTGTGGTGAAATTGACAAATGAAATTATATAAACAGTGAATTTACTGTCATAACATATAAAAAGCTCGTGCCTGTGAGATATCAACAAAACATTAGAAAAATAGCTCACACCAAAGCCTTCAGCGAGTATTCACCGGACAACCCGCTTCCAAGCTGCGCGAACCTATTTCACTGCGCACATACTATGAGCGCAGCCCAGCTGTTGAAACCAGTTTTCCCCCGAAAAGTCGGGGGAAAATTAGTGAAAGGTTTGAACTCCGATTTCGCTCGGTTTTTTTCATCGCGTTATTTTTCAACTTTATAAGATGAATTTGCATTTTTGATGATTTGTTTCGGGAAGTCCATACCGAAAGGAATCAGAATCTGAAAAGTTGTGTTTTGCGTTGCATGTGACCTTTAATGACACTCAAAATACTGTTAACTTGACGTAAGTTTTCTATGTGGCCCTCACAATTCAGTTCAATAAAATCGATTTGATAAGCAAAAAATGATATTGTTCGATGATAGTTTGACTTTTACAGAGCTATCAGATTGTTCCAGAGAGCTCAGAGGTGACAGTAATCCTGGCTGTCTGAATTGAACTATGCTGTAGTTTCATTTGGTGGTGTGACATACATAGTTACATTCTGAGAATGATTAACACAAAGAAATATTACAATTTTCATGACTCCCAAATATTGAAAAATGACTCCCCAAAATAAATATTGTGAGTCACCATGACTCCCATTTTTTAAAAGTCTGTGTAAAACCCTGCTTTTGATGTATGACATGTTGTTGTCATCATCTGACGTTTTATGTGTTGTTTCAGGTAAATGAGTTGAACCATGTGAACCTCCGTGTGATGCTCATGCCCGATGACTTCAAGGCCTTCAGCAAGATCAGAGTTGACAACCACATGTTTAACAAGTGAGTATCCCGTTCCACACCTTAGCTGTTTTGTAAGTTGGTCATTCCAAGAGGGGCGGTGGGGTAGCCTAGTGGTTAAAGCGTTGGCTCGTCACGCCGAAGACCCGGGTTCGAATCCCCACATGGGTACAATGTGTGAAGCCCATTTCTGGTGTCCCCTGCCGTGATGTTGCTGGAATATTGCTAAAAGCGGCGTAAAACTAAACTCAGTCAGTCAGTGGTAATTCCAAGAACAAGTTTGTCCTCTCAATTTGATCTGATAAAATTCAGCTTCTCATCAATTTCATATGCTTTTCGAAATAAGTTAAGGAATACCTGATGCTTTTATGTTACCAAAGTTCATCTCTCATGCAGTGCTCTTTAACATATTTTTTGTAGTATTAGAAGTAAAATTGCATTATTAATTTTACACAAGGTTACTTGTACTTGAATGCTTTGGTTCCCCTGCTGTGATTATCAGGTACATGGTATGGCAGCACCATACTCGTGTGGTTCACCAAAGTTGTACTCTTCTGAGAGATGTATCTCATTCTGACTGCAAAGGTTTCTTGAACCTGTCCACTCTCTCACACTCACAGCGATGTGCATGGTGAAGCTATGGGGTATTTGACATGGACAATGTCACAGTGTGGTGACGTGTTTGGAATTGTCGAAACTACATATTGTAAACACAACTATTCATCAACAAATATGACATGTGAAATGTAATATTACAGTATGCAATGCTAGCCACTTGTCCAAAGCCATTCTCTTCCCACAGAGGTTACTCCTGTCATATCTTCCTACATAACCTCTGTTCTAATACGGCCATATTTCCCGGTCCTCGTAAAAACTCCCTAGCGCAAAAAGATCGCAAAGAACACGGTTACATCGACTTAGATTCAATTTGACTAACACAAGCAAATGCGGGGCCACAAATATCCCCCATCTGTCGGGGAATTGTGTTGATGTTACACACAAGACGTTTAATGGCTAGCTTGTCCGTTGTCAACGAGGGCGATGGAGACGCCATTGATACGCCATTACATGACTGAGTTCTGTCTAGAAGAAACGTTTGCGCATCGCTCTCGGGAAGAGGTTCTAGTTTTCCCGAAGCATACGGAAATTACCGAGGCCTTGCGACTGATCACTTTTGAAACAACGTCGCTGATTGCACAACTAAATCGGCTTGTCTCCAATCACGAGCCTTGAACGCTGACACCAAGAAAGGGTCGTATTAGAACAGAGGTTATGTAGGAAGATATGACAGGAGTAACCTCTGTGGGAAGAGAATGGTCCAAAGCCTGAGTGACAGAGAATTGTGTTTTGTATTCTTATTTCAAAACCTACTGAAAATGATGCATATGGCCAAATTTGGGCTTGTGGACTGGAATGGTTTGGGCACAAACTAATGTATACATACTTCTGAAAAGAAGTAAAGAAAACTTGATTCTTTTATCATGCTACATTTACTCAGTCATAGCATGACAAATTATCTATGATAATATGCAACCTCTTTTGAGCAGAATGGCTGTAATATTTAAGCTTTCATGTAATTCTATGTATAAATGTGAAATCCAAGGAATATGTGTCCTTGAAAGGGTTTCTTGTCCAGTGCCAGCAGGTTCATGTTCCAGCCTTTGGTTTGTTGTAAAATCATGGGTTACCATGCTAATAAAGTAAATCATTTCTATAGTCTTCGAAGCTTTATGTTTGGACTGCTGGAACTGACAGATGGCTGCAGTGTAACACAAGTGTTTTGGGGATTTGTTTACTGAACTCACCCCAACTGTTGACCTTGAGGTTTATGTTAGTATGTCACAGACAGTTGAAAGAGCTTACATAGATCTGGCATCTAAACACACATTTTAGATGTACAGTCGTTATTCTTTTTACCCCAGGGTTGAAATCCTCCCTATTACCAATGCATAGAGAAAATGTAAAGGCACAATTAAAAAAATTTTTACTTACAGGCCGAAGTAATTTACTTTGTCATAAATGCTTAGTGATGATGTTTATGAAGCCAGTGAGAAATATCCTTTCACACAAATAATAGGGACATAATAAACAGTATGATTCATGGAATATACCCTGGAATATGAGGTATGGGTCTTCCAGACTTCTAAGGAGCCACAGTTCATTGTGTAGAGTTTTGTAATTGTAGCATGATCAAGATTGAAGATTGAAACATCATCACCAAGGAGATGTATATAATGTTTCCATGCACCAAAAACATGTCAAAATATATTCATGTTTGTGACCCCTACATTTCCTCACAACAGTAATCTGTGGAGTCCTTCAATGCCCCAAGCTTTATGATGTTGTTTTGTTTTTTGTTTGTTTTATGCCCCACTCAGCAATATTCCAGCTATATGGTGGTGGTCTGTAAATAATCAGACAGGACCAGACAATCCAGTGATCAACATCACGAGTATCAATGAAGACCTGTGTCAACAAAATGCAGCCTTGAACAAGAAACTAATTGTTGGTTATTCATGAAGATCTTTTCGTACCAAGCAGATAGTCATTTAGTTCATTAGCAGTAATGTTTTTCCGGGGGAACATCTTGATAAATATTTTGTGTTTTGTAAACTGCAATGTACTAGCTTATAGCATTTGTACTGAGGGCTCGTAGGATACATATCAAGTGATTCTGGTAACTGGCACAAAGTTATGGAATCCAGGTGAATACTAAGGTTATACATTCTTAATCATTTATTTGGATCAGTTTTCTTGGCAACTAGTTACGAAATGATAAAAGTGTGATGGTTATGATAGGTCAGTCAGGTTACAGGCCAGGATATGTTCGATAAATAGTTTACCCAGTAACCTCTATTTATCAATTTATAAATTGTTTGATTATCATTTGTGATTTTCCTTATTAAATAATTATGTATCAGGAGTGACTAGTGCTTTCCATTTCCTTTGTTGCCAGAAGTAGAACTTAACATTTGAGAGACCTGGTTACAGTAGTGAATGATTTATGCCACACCCAACACTGTCCTAATCAGATCAGGCATTAAGTCACACCCAACACTGTCCTAATCAGCTCAGGCATTAAGGGGGCGGTGGGGTAGTCTAGTGGTTAAAGCGTTGACTCGTCACGCCGAAGACCTGGGTTCGAATCCCCACATGGGTACAGTGAGTGAAGCCCATTTCTGGTGTCCCCCCGCCGTGATGTTGCTGGAATATTGCTAAAAGCCGCGTAAAACCAAACTCAGTCAGTCAGTCAGTCAGGCATTAAGCCACACCCAACACTGTCCTAATCAGCTCAAGCATTAAGCCACACCCAACACTGTCTTAGTAATTCAGGCATTAAGCCATAATCAAAACACTGTCCTAATGCTACACTAAAAATTGTCCTTATCACCCCAGGCTTTAAGCTATATCCAACACTGTCCTGGTCAGCTCAGACATTAGGCTAACGTCAACACTGTCCTAGTGAGCTCAGGCTTTAAGCTAAGTTCAACACTGTCCTAATCAGTGTTTTGCAACCCAAGTCAGCTTGGGTATTTAGCCATATTCTGCTATCCCAGTTCCTTGCTCACTGAGCCACATCCTACACTATCTTGGTCAACTGGAGCAGTGAGTCACATCCTGCTCTGTCCTGGCCAGCATTAAGTCACATCGTACAGTATCCTGATCAACTGGAGCAATGAGTCACATCCTGCTCTGTCCTGGCCAGCATTAAGCCAGATCATACAGTATCCTGGTCAACTGGAGCAGTGAGTCACATCCTGCTCTGTCCTGGCCAGCATTAAGCCAGATCGTACAGTATCCTGGTCAACTGGAGTAGTGAGTCACATCCTGCTCTGTCCTGGCCAGCATTAACAATGTTAAGCCAGATCGTACAGTATCCTGATCAACTGGAGCAATGAGCAACATCCTGCTCTGTCCTGGCCAGCATTAAGCCAGATCGTACAGTATCCTGGTCAACTGGAACAGTGAGTCACATCCTGCTCTGTCCTGGCCAGCATTAAGCCAGATCGTACAGTATCCTGGTCAACTGGAGCAATGAGCAACATCCTGCTCTGTCCTGGCCAGCATTAAGCCAGATCGTACAGTATCCTAGTCAACCGGAGCAGTGAGTCACATCCTGCTCTGGCCTGGCCAGCATTAAGCCAGATCGTACAGTATCCTGGTCAACCGGAGCAGTGAGTCACATCCTACTCTGGCCTGGCCAGCCTTAAGTCAGATTGTACAGTATCCTGGTCAACTGGAGTAGTGAGTCACATCTTGCTCTGTCCTGGCCAGTATTAACAATGTTAAGCCAGATCGTACATTATCCTGGTCAACTGGAGCAATGAGCAACATCCTGCTCTGTCCTGGCCAGCATTAACAATGTTAAGCCAGATTGTACAGTATCCTGGTCAACCGGAGCAGTGAGTCACATCCTGCTCTGTCCTGGCCAGCATTAAGTCACATCGTACAGTATCCTGGTCAACTGGAGTAGTGAGTCACATCTTGCTCTGTCCTGGCCAGTATTAACAATGTTAAGCCAGATCGTACATTATCCTGGTCAACTGGAGCAATGAGCAACATCCTGCTCTGTCCTGGCCAGCATTAACAATGTTAAGCCAGATTGTACAGTATCCTGGTCAACCGGAGCAGTGAGTCACATCCTGCTCTGTCCTGGCCAGCATTAAGTCACATCGTACAGTATCCTGATCAACTGGAGCAGTGAGTCACATCCTGCACTGTCCTGGCCAGCATTAACAATGTTAAGCCAGATCGTACAGTATCCTGGTCAACTGGAGCAATGAGCAACATCCTGCTCTGTCCTGGCCAGCATTAACAATGTTAAGCCAGATTGTACAGTATCCTGGTCAACCGGAGCAGTGAGTCACATCCTGCTCTGTCCTGGCCAGCATTAACAATGTTAAGCCAGATCGTACAGTATCCTGATCAACTGGAGCAGTGAGTCACATCCTGCTCTGTCCTGGCCAGCCTTAAGTCACATCGTACAGTATCCTGATCAACTGGAGCAGTGAGTCACATCCTGCTCTGTCCTGGCCAGCATT